GCAGCAATAGTTTGGTTTTCGACCAGACTGACAAGCTAATGATTAGCCTGAGTAGAATGCCATCTTAAATAACTTCAACCCCCTCAAAAACTCATAGCAGTTCACATGAATTCTATTTTATAAACGTTTACATTGCTGTCAGTTCGGAATTACACGATTACGTTTAATTTTATGGTTATTTGTAGGAGCAAGTAGCGTTAGCAGCAGCTAGCTGTAGCACTTCCGGCGGGAACATTCGTTTTCTGCTGGAATACTCGTGTAATGTGAACCTAAACGCAGTGTAAAGGTATTTAAAAAATAGCGTGACTTTAGTTTTGGTCACATTCGGACTAGCCGTTAGCTTCGATCAGAACTAAAAGCTGTTCAAAGAGCTACCTAAAACAGGTATGATACTAACTATTCATAACGTTTTTATCAAACCCCACTTTACAAGATCTGGACTTGTGCTTTAATTCTTACATAGCACATTGTTTCTTTCTTGAACTGTCCTGCTTTGTTTCTTTATTTCACTTTGACTTCATTTCTTTGCGATGTGGAGATTTGCTGGCTTTTTAAGCAGTTCATAAAAATGGCACAATATTTTTTCAGCTTATGGGGAAGTGTTAGCTGAAACAACGTCAACATTTATTGTAAATAGGCTTTCTGGTTCGGCAGTCAGATATGATAACGGATGATTTTATGGACTGTGAACGTTTCCTCAGCTTCATGAGGATGAACAGCTCCACTGAGAGCAACTTCAAGTGTACAGATACTTCAAACAAATCTTACAAATGTAACTTTGCCTGCCTAACTTATATTTTACTGTCTTGCAACAAAGAACCAAAAAAACTAAACAACTAACAATAAGAGATGAGATGAGTCATACTGAATGTATCATGTCAGTTGATAAAAACTGAATTAAGGGACAAAGCACAGAAAGATTCGCTGAAAAAGCAACGGAGCAGTCGAGCAAATATTTCCATTTGGATTTGGTGCATTTCATGAACCCATACGTCAACTCAAAATGTCGAGATTTTGTATTTTGTAACTCTAATGTAAAATCTGGGGAAAGCAAATCAAAGCTGCAGAATTGGGCCTCATCATTTAGGGAACCGTCCATGTTAATATATTAATGCACATGTACAGAGATATTCATTTAAAAGTTGCGACAAAACAATCTACGGTGAAATAAAGATGCTAGCTAACGTTATTCATTAGCCAAATATGTGATACCATCCAGGTTGAAGCAACCTCCTTTAATGAGTTTTTTTTATTATTATTATTATTCAAACATTAGCAAGGTGAGAAGTTATCCGGTTGAACTGGAATATTTCAAATTCTTGACCCAGACTTTTAACGATAAAAAACATTTTTATTTTTGTGGCTTCATGGTCAGTGATAAAAATAACAAAACAGCCTGGTTAATAATTAAACTCTTGTAACTTCAGCAGATTGAACCAAGCAGATAAGAACTTTCCTCTGAGGTTTATAGAAAAACAACCTACGACCGTGACTTTGTATCAACTTCTGCTGTTTAACGTTTTACTATAAAAACTGATATGGAATTCCTGTTCTGTTCATTTAGATTTGAACTAAGCCGTTTCCTCAAAGCTTCTCACTCAAAGAGATTTTTTATTTTGTTTGTTTTTAAGTTTATTTCACATTTTTTAATTTGTGGGGAAATATATATATATGTTTTCCATGATCGCTCTCTGTAAATGCAACAAAAGCCCATGTCTAGTGATGAACTGAGAAGGCATTAAGAAATAAAGGTGGAAAAATGGCACATTCAGATGACTGAAACCTTGTTAATACAAATAAAAATGTTCAGTGATTTTGAAAAATACAGACTGCATTCATTCATTAAGTCGCCCATCCACAATCAAAATAATTGCTGAAGTAAGCAAGGCCTTTCCATGGTACCATGCTACAAAACGTTTTCAGATTGTGTCTTCACTGACGGACAGTTAACCCAGACTGTGTGACCCTGAACACCCTCAGATATCACAGATGATGACTTTTAATCAAAAACTGACAATCAGCTCAACTAATTCTCCTTTTCATCCATTTTTCACCTTGTGGTAATGATTCTTTAGGACAGACTCCTTCAGAGAAGGCCAGGAGTCATGAAGCATCAATGGAAGGATTGTTTAACGTAGTGCTCCAGTTGAATGAACATTCGACCTTCACTGGTTGCCTTAAATACCGTATTTTTTTGTATTATAAGGTGCAATGGATTATAAATCGCAATATCGATGAACGGGTCTGTTTTCATACATAAGGTGCAAGGTGCACCAGATTATAAGGCACATTAAGTGAATTAAAACAGTCAGATAAGTCAAACTTTATTCAACTCATTCAAAATAACCACATAAAATCTGTTCGAGGTCTGTAAGCACAACCAGAATTAATACATAAGGTGCACCTGATTATAAAGCTCAATGTCAATTTTTGAGAGAATTAAAGGATTTTAAACGTGCCTTATAGTCGGAAAAATACAGTACAGGACAATGTTTGGATACACATGAACGAGTCTGCTCGTTAAATTGTTCTGAATTGTTTGTGCCACACTTTCAAATGTCACTCAGTTCTCTAAAACAATTCTCATCACGCTACGCAAAGAGCGTTTACAATAGTGGTGTGTGATACTGCAAGTTCTGGGATCAATCCCAAACCAAGTAAGGGATTATTCACAGTTTTCAACGTTTTCACAAGAAAGTACAAAACGTACTTTTATGCAGGAGGTCTCCTTTCACTAGGGGTGGAGGGAGACCTCCTCCACCTCCACCCCTCCGAAAGCGCAAGGACAAAATGATTTTTACAAAACTTATTTATTTATTTTAAATGAAACATAGCAACTGTTGCATAGTAAAATCACAACAGTCACTCATATGATGTCACATTAGTACACACTTTTGTCCTCAAACAGGAAATGCTCTCTCCCTTATTCATATCGAGAACAATCTGTGACTCATGGTGTCAGTTTACAGACAGACTTTAACATAAAAGCTAAACCCAACACGAACAGGACATTAACAAGAACAACCCATTTCCACACTCGGAGACATCATAAACCTTTCACACATAATTGCCACAAGGCTACCCAGCATCCTTTGCAGCTCACAGTCTCTTTGGGTCGCTACAATATGCTAAAGTAAAATTATTGTCATTCCACATTTGTACACGTCTCTAAAATGTTTAAAACGTACAGATATAGACATACAAATATTTATGATAGATTACAAACACCTGAAGAGAACTTCAAGTTAGGGGGAAAAGAAAATAAAGTTAGAGACTTTCATCTTTGCTATAATCTGGGGCATATAAATAAAGGTCTTTTAGTGTTGTTATTGTTTAATGATAAGAACTGAAATAGCAGAAACA